TCAAGTCAGCCACCACTTTTCATTTTTTTTCACAAGTCAGCAATTTAAGTGGATCTATTTAATAAATTATTATTTTACAATTTTATACTTTTTAAATTATAAAATTAAAAACTCATAATATAAAATATAAAAACAAGTACATAACCAAACCCACCAAGCAATAAGAGAATAATGGGCTCTTTTCTAGACATCAAGTGAGCAGGTCAGCAGAAGGTTTTTAGCTAATAAAAGTGACCAATGGGAATAATTTATTGAGCAGATATATTTTATAACATCTCAGTCTCCGGCAGGCTTATGAACACAGATTAAAATATCAATGTTATCAAAAATCATAAAATGTTATCTTTAAAAATATTAATTTTATAGAATTTAATTAATAAAAATAATTAATAATTAACAAGAATTAATATTTATTAATTAATAAATTAAAATCTCTTAATAAATTAATATTATCACACCGTTAAAAAAGAAAAAAAATTAGTGCGCTTAACATCTACTGTGGCAACAACCACCCCCGTCTACTCAGTCTCCGCTGAGATCGTATCTGCAGATCGTAATTAGAATTGTATGTAACAGATGCAATTATTGGATACTAACCTAAATTGGATGCACAACACTACTAAGACACTTTGTATAAAAGATCTTAATGGTTCCTAACAAGAAACATACATCTTAGCGTTCACTTGTCTGCCCCAAGCACTTCACATCACTTTGATTATAATAAAGTTATAAGTTTGGGGATGAAGAAAATTAACCCAGAAAAAAAAAAATATAAATTCACTTCTTGAAATGTACTCCTCTAACCATTTCCTTCACCCAAAAGTCAATCCTCGAACTCATTCATGTGATCTAGAAGGTAGTTCGCTGCCAGCTCCTCATTCTTGTTGCAGGCAAAGAAAACTTGGAGCACAGTTGCTCGATCAAAACCCATTGCTTCAAGCTGCAAAAGATTCGGGCAAAATGCAGATAAACATTTCTAAAAACAAAGGAAAGTCACAAAAATTCAAGAAGAAGCTGTGAACTTTAGCTCCTAAACCATGACCTAGCTAATATACTCACCTGAAGCACTAAACAAATAAGGAAATACTTAAAACAATTTCATTCCACTTTACTGGCGAACAAGATCATAGACGTAGCATGCACACCAATATGTACTAATTAAAGCACTACTACAAGCAGCAGGAAAATGGACTTCAAAACACTTTACCAGGGCAACCAATTCACATATTCAATTTGGAAGAATTAAATTTTCCTCTATTATCCTCACCCCTTTTCAATCTTTCTCTCTCATATTCTTCTCTATTTCTTGTTTTACATCAGGATAACTTACCCGTTCTATGGCTTCACGCTCCTCAGGTGTGACTGTTAGGGTCTGTGGCATTGCATCAGCAAGTTGCCCCAATATGTTCCTAGAGACACATCAATAACCAATGAGCAAGGTTATGGTCAGAACATGTTTCCACAAAAAAACCTGTCAAAAATGAAAACTCACCCCTCTCCACCTTCAACAGGTTCGTTAATCAGGTGAAGAAAGTCAGCCTGATGCTCTTGAATAAGCCTCATCAAATGAGGATTTTGTTTTCCCAACTCTTGAAGCATAGGCTGCAAAAACATTTTTTTGCTAAATAATGACGATGATGATAATGAGCACTGATTTGTGCAACTAAATGGGAGATTAAAAAATGAAAACCTGCAATATCTGTGGGTTAGCCTGAACCATTGCCCGCAAAGCTTGAAACTGAAAATGCAAAAAGAAAGACAAATATAAGTTCAGAATGAGTATGCTTGACAGGGTAACACATGTATGTGCACAATATGAGAGAGATACCTGTTGACTATTGCGTAAAAACTCAAGAGAACCAGCACTTGCAGCACCTGACCCCATGTTGGGAAGCCCCTGCATTTAAAAGAACAAACAGTCAATTACTGAAACAATTCATATTCTCCATGAACACGTCACAACAAATTAATACCTGAGGAAAGAGGTCCAAAGGATTGACATTTGGTCCACTAGAAGGAGGGGCTGGTTGAGCAGGCTGTTGAGGTTGTACTGAAGGATTAGTAGGTGGGACGCTACCCGCAGCACGGGCAACAGGTGGAACTTCAGCTTGTTCAGGGATACCCTGGTAATTGTCATAAAAAAAAGGTTAAAAAAATAAAAATTAATAACTAATAATAATAATAATAATAATAACACGTTATGTGCACTAAATACCAAAAACTACAGTTGGGTTCAAAGGAACCAAAGGGAATACAATTTGCATGCTCACTTCATCTAATGCAAAGTCTCAGACAACCTAAAGTCAAGAAATCAACTAAATATAATGACACCAATAACTAGGCAAGAAAAAAAAAAAGAAGAAAGAAGAAGGAAGAAGAAACACCAAATAGCAGAGCATGTGCATGGATCACCAAAACATCAATTTCAACACAATATCTTTTCTGCAGTAACAAAAGTATTTTCAACAGACACGGAAATCTGTCATCACAAAAACAAGTGGTTGCAGAAATGTGAGAATTAGCCACATTAACTGAGTATATTACACAGAACAAAAGTGATCATTCCACCCAAGTAAACAGCCAAGGAGGGTAATGAAATGCCAACAATCCTCCCCACTTTCAATCATTTACATATTTGATGAAGAAACAGCAAGGGGTAATCTTTTTTCCTATTTCCTAGACATGCAAACCATAATTGAAGTCAATGAATATGCAATGGAATCTACTCAAAAGCAAAGAAGATGCCAAAGGGTCCTCAAATGGTATGGTCAAATGCAGTAAGTGAACTTACAGAATACAAGTATTCCACAGCTCTCTCTGGATTATTGTAGGCAGCACGAAGGGCGCGTACAACAGTATCTCTATCCCATGTTCCCCCACCCATGTCAAGAATTTGCTGGATAGCTCCTTCTAGGTTGCTTCCTGCAACCAGATTAGAGGCTGCTTGACCATAAACATCAGCCTCTGACCTGCTTTCAAAAACATTGTAGAAAATATTAAAACATGCAAACCAAAACTATGAAAAACAGTGCTTGTGACATTCAAACCAATAGAGAAGAGATGAATTGAAAGCTGACTTCTATAATAAGAAGCAGCTTTAAATTACTATTCAGAAAAGGATGCTCACCCGGCAGTAGTTGAAGTGACAGGAGCAGATACAGCAACAGATGCAGCTCTAAAAAAATTAGATAATTATTTAATTGCCAATAAAAAAAGGATAATTAGTTAAATAAAATAATCAATATAATTATGAAGATATTCAAAAGTTCAACTTACGGAGCAGAAGTTGCAATAGGTGCAGCTGAAGCTGGGGCCGGGGCAGGTGGTGCAGAACTTGCCTGAGGAACCTACAAAACCAGACAACTCATTACCTGGCACTTAAACAAACTCAGCAAAAGAACCAAACATTCTGAGAGATTTTCACAAAATTGTGTTACAGAAAATGAACCCATTCAATCTTCAACTTCTTTTATTCATTAATCAAGTAATACCAGCTCCAATAACAACATAAAACACCAATATGAGAAGGACCTAAGTTCTCTCACATTTGTTGGCTGAGCTGTTGAAGTTGTTGAGCTTGCTCCAGATGAACTCTTACTCTACCATTAGTTAAAGCATTGAAATGAATCATTAGTGCTAAAAAAAAACAATATAAAGCATCATTATAAAGATTCTTTAAAAAAAATGCAGCACATGTGTAGGCTATCATGAATTTTGTCATTAATAGGCAAAACAAGAGAAATATCAGTGAACTTCAAATATCAAATAGAGAACTCCAGACATTGCAACTTTGGCTATTAGAAAAGATCTCACCTTAGATAACATTACAACAATAAAATTATTTTCAACAACTTTATTCTCCTCCAATGTTGAGTTATCAGCAAGGACTTTCCCCTGATGAATAAGCATTTGCTGTGCAGCAGGATAAACATCCACACCTTGAACAGCTTCTATATGGTTTTTTACATCAGCAACCTGAAAAAAGATTCATGATTTCAAATTCCATAAATATATAAGATATTAAGATATCACACACCATATCATATGAATGAGTGGAGCTATCCTCATTTCAAAGGGCTTTAACTAGCATCAGCCACTCTTTTTCACGAAAATTCCAAAGCTGGTAAAGAATATTTGCCTTAAGCCTAAAGCTCAGAAAAACACAACTCAGGTTTTTCAAAGAAAAATAAATTCATATCATGGGTACATCCCAATTCTTAGAGGTCCATTACATACTATAATGAAAGTTTCAATCACTACTAGTAGTTAACTATTAGCACATTTTGCTTTTCCTTATGATACTCTTGTGACTTTTATTCAATTGGAAAATTTCACTCAAAACTCATACCTAAGTAGCAAATTATATAAACCTAACTTAAATTTCAAAATCCTCAATTTAAGATGCCTCAGTATTAATTCATCTTAATTAAACAATGAAATTGACGAAACCACTCAATCAATTTCTCGTATTCAGTCCAATAAAAGTAGAATACGATTGGCAAACAAAACATAATCTAATACAGCATGCGATTCAACCATAGTCGAACATAAGCCCTAATTAATCCTCAAGAATTGGGGCAAACGCGAACCTAAAATCAAAACCTAAGTGAAATCTACACAATCCAAACCACATGAGAAATTTAATCGGAAAATTACCTTGTCTTCAGGTTTTACTTCGATATCAAAGTGAGTGCCCTTGAGAGTTTTGACGAAAATCTTCATCTTCTGGTTTTCCGATCGCCGTCGCTGTCTCTGGTTTTCGCTGAGGTTTACGATCCCTTATTCTAATTTTTATAGTAAAAATTTTTTTCCTCGTCATTTAAATGGCCGATCCGGAGAAAACCCAGAGTGCAAGTTAGGAACAAGGTTAAATACCAAATTTGATCCCTTAACTTTTATTTTTGAATCAAATCTACTTGGTCTTTAAAAAGTATCAAAAATATTCTCAAACTTTAATTTTTGAGATCGATTTAGTCCTTCCATTTAAGGAAGTGCCAAATGGCACATTAAATTACCACAAAATCAATTCTTGTATTAAAAAATTAAATGCTGTGTAAAATAAAACATAGATAAGGTGATGGGTAGCTTTTGAAAAAGAAAAAAAAAAACTCTTTTAATGGGGTCAAAAGAAAAAAAGATGATTGGAATTACAACTCAAAAAGAGAAATAATATTTTATTTTCCCTATAGAATTCATCAAATCGAATTTGTGTTGAGAAGGAAGGTGACCATGCCCAAAATCAGATTACAAAGATGTCATGTTCATCATCATTAGGGTTGGGGGAAGATGATGAAGGAATTAACTTTTATAGGAAAAGTGGCGATCACACTGTGAAAATTGACAATCTGTTCAATGATGGGTGGTATATCACTCAAAGGAAGCTCAAATGGGGTCAATTCTTCATCGTCTTGCTCACCAACAATTTAAACCTTAGTAAATCCATTTCCAATGAAATTTGGTATCAAAGTTATTCTATATCATCTTATATGAGTTTATGTATATTCTCCATTTGAAAAAGTGTTTCATAGTTTAGAACAATCTAAACTGTAGAACAATAGGTTCTTTTTTATTTACTTGAGATCTTACTTTTTTCATACCACAAAGGCTTCATTTTGATCATTTGATGATGAAGATGTTTAATGATTTGCGATTAACTGATTCTTAGTTAATTATTATATATCCTTTTTGTGAGATAAATTCATTTTTGATCCAATTTTTTTCCCAAACAACAAACCATATGTCAAATTGCAAGTAGCCCAATACTGTTGCAACCATTCGTCTAAGCAATCCCTATGAAAGATAAGCTTGCATTTCAATCTCCTAACTTTTTCCCCTTAATCTCTAGGAAACATATAATGCATTCATTCAATTCAAGCTTCAATCTTTTGGAGTAACTAATTGTGGTGTTTTTCTCCTTGATGAATTTAAGATATTGGATACTATTGATCTTAGGTTTATTGGAGTGGAACCCAATCATCGACTAGACTAGCATCACAAGCTTCAAAATTTGGACAGTGAATGACACCAAGGTGATGGTGTAGAGGTGAGAGAAGAATTCAGAGATGGTTGCCATGGCTGCTAAGGGAGAGAAGTTGTATCTAGGTTCTCAAGGGAAAAATTAACAAATTGATTCGGAAGGAATAGTAGGACGAAGAGGGGATGAGAGAGAAGAAGAAAGGAGGAGGGAAGAAGAGGAAGAAGGCTAAAAGAGAAAGGATGAGAGGAAAGGATGAGAGAAAAGAAAGGAAGAATAAGATGAAGTCTTCTACTTTTCGGTTTGATTAGATGTCTGAAATGGCAAAAAAAAAAAGTGTTTTTATTTTCTACATTATTAAAGTTTTTAAAAAAAATGATGGTTTTCAAGGTAACTTAACATGCCATCTGGTAGTTCAATTGATGGAAGGGCTCTCTTGGTCTCAAAAATTGAAATTTAAGGATACTTTTAGTGCTTTTTAAAGTTCAAGAATAGATTTAGTTTAAAAATAAAAGTTGAGGATCAAATTGGCTATTTAAACCAGGAACAACAATGCATCTACTCTATAAGAGTCCCACCGGATCAGTGCACTAGTGCAGTCTCGCAAAAGAATGGACGGTACCAGAGTTGACACGACGTAGATTAATCTAGATCGAACGGCTGATAGATGACAGGGGAACCACGTGGCGTGCTGGGCAATAAAGGAATCCAGTATGAACACAAAATTAATTCTTTGCTTTTTTGTTTGGAATCCAAAATCTTTTAAAAAAAATGTGCAATCTATTTATTTTTTAATATGGAAACTCATTGGTAGTAATTAAGGGTGTTTATATTCGGTTTAATTTGATTAATCTGATTAATCTGACTTAAATTGATTCAATCTAATCAAAAATCGAATCAAATGGATATAAAATTGGATTGATTTGAATTATAAAATTTTAAAACCAATGTATTTGATTTGGTTTGTGATTTTACCTTCAAATCACCCCAACTGCCAAATTACAAAATAAAATTTGATTAGAAAATAATTTAATTAAATAATATAACATATTTTTTGTAGTATTTTAAAATTTATTTTTCTTATTTTACAAGATAATAACTCTATTAACTTAATTAAAAAATAAAAATAAAACATCTTCATACTCTCTAAGTTATTTTTTTATTTTAATCATGCACTCTAACTCTAATTTTAAATTTACTTGCAACTCTATCTCCTCAAAAATAGTGTACGCCTTTACTTTTAGAACTCTAAATTTCTAGTTTATTCTTAAAATAATCTTATATTCTCCTAGCTAAGTTTTAAATAAATATCATTCTAAAAATTTTAAAACTATATAATAAAGTTAGTTTTGATATTCTATGATTCTTGGATATTTGGTTTAGAAGTTTTAAATTTTTATTATGAATGCTTCTAATCAATTTTAGTGATATTCAATTTTAGTGATATTCATGTTAAATTTTATTCACTTTTAACAGTATTTAGAATATTAAATTAAATCATTAGTGCATTAAGAAAAAAAAATTAATGTTTAAAAAGTATTTATGTTGTGCTAGAAATTTGAAGTCATCTTTTATTGTTCTTAGTGCCTTTAGTGATATAATCAAGAAGAATTTTCATATCTTTTCAATTTTTATAAATGTAAGGTAGTATAAGAACTCGTTTATAATTTTTATTTTTTATTATGTTTTTTACTAATTTGCATATTAATGTGTTTTATAATTATATTTTCTATTTGATGTTAAAATATTTTTACATTATTTCATATATTTAATAATGTTAAAAATCGATCAATTCGACCAAATCATACTAATCCGATTTAAGTTAAATTGATTTAATTATTATATAATAGTAGATTGAATTGATTTAAACATTTTATTAATTGATTAAATTTAATTAATTTAAAAAATATTAAAATTCAAATCAAATCAAACCGCGAATACCTTTAGTAGTAATATTGAGATATATTTGGTCGGAGGAAAATAAAAGAAATGAGGGAGTAGAAAGATAAATTTTGTAATCAATTATATAATATTTAAAAATATTATAATTTAATTATTTAACAAATTCATTTCTCTCATTTCTTTCTCTTTATTTACTTCAAAGTAAATATATATTTTTTTTTAACATTCAAGCTATCTTACACTAATTTTTGTATACTTTAAGATTTAAACTCATTATTTGATATATAATAGTTCATTTACGTTCATCATGGATACTAATTGAGTTGCAAATTTATTTTTGAGTAACATAGTGTGATTTTAATACAAAATTAATTAATTAAAGTATTAAAATAGTCGTTGTATTAAGAATTTGTTTGATTTTAAAGAAGTGTAGGGAGAAAAGCTACCTTTATTTGAATAAAAGAAATTAAAAAGATTAAGAGATCTTATTTAATTTTTTAACATTTATTTTCTTTATTTGTTTTAATATATATTCAGATGTTGAGAGGAGAGAGAAACAAAAAATACCTTAACCAAACAGGTTAAGTAGTGCACCCTTCAAGTCAAAGTTTAGCACGTATCTTTTGCACCAAAAAAAAAAAAAAGAGGGTTTAGCAAGTACACCCAGCCCAGGTTAAGTATCAACTGGGCCAACTTAATTGAACATTCTTTTAAGCTTAAGGCTGGAAATTAATGGACATTTAAGAAGCCGGCTAGACCAAAACTTAAAATCCAGCGAAATCAGCCCAAGATTTCCTCTATTCTCCATCTGACTTAACAAGCCAGGCCTTTCACCTCCCTTTTTGTATTGGGTGAACGGTCTTTCACCCGTTCTTTGTCATTTTTCTTTCGTTTTTTATGAAAAACATGTTACGGATGCGAGCCATGTTGGGCCAACGATATTTGTCACTCGGCACCTGTGTCGTGCTAGTGCACGTGCGAAGCAGGTCTAATACAATAACTCAATGCACATATTCATGCAAGTGAAAAAAAAAAAAAAAATTAACGCAGAAGGAGAAAAGGTTAGAACGAATTGAAATCTCTAACATCATATGGCCTGTTTACCACTCGCGACATGAAAGAAAAATAAATAAAATACCAAACAAAAGAGAACAAAACTCGATGAGAACTCAAAGGAGTTGTTGCCTCAACACTCACTAAATTTTGATTAATTCATTTTTTAGTTTAACAAATGTAATGTCCCAAATTTTACATTGATAAAGATTTATGAATGAATCTAATATATAAATGTAAAAATTAATTACTATTAACAATTTAAATTTAAAATTTTGAAAGTTTATGAATCTTGACCCGAAAAGTTATCAAATCAGTAATAAATTTTAGTTCGAATCATTTTAATTAATATCATAACAATTATTTCTTATAAGTGTGAACTCATACTGGCCATCACATGTGACGGTAGCGTGTATTAAATTTGAGTTTTTGAGAGTTTACAAGTTTTTATCCAAATCGTTTCAATAGTGAAAATATTTTTGAATCAATTTAACATATCTCAAAGCTAATATATCT